TTTCAATGACTTGTTTATTTAGTTTCCTTGTTAACTTTGACTCTTCAAAAGTCTTCAGGAGGCCATCATCCTAGGATTTACCTTGTACATGTAGAAGGTAAACCCTTGTAGGGTCTCATTTAATGTACATGTTGCTCTGCACTGAATAAGATTGTTTCCATCCATTTGATAGTCTTTGATCAAAATTATGACAAAATATGAAACAAATTATCACACAGGTTTATTTTGTGACAAAAGTTGATTTTGACACTCAAAATGTCAAAATTGGGACGAGAGAATCACTGCACTTTGGTATTTGGTGACAGAAAGGGCTGTGAATTTCTGTTAAATCAAAAAATGTGTTGGTGCATTTTTAATATAACCAGATTATTAAATGTACATCTTGTAAAAGCTCCAGCTAGCTATACACAAACTATTGAGAATGGTATTCACACATTGTACTTTAATAAACTTGATAAATGTACATTTTGTTCTACATTCACATGAATTTAAAAACTGTACATAGCACTTTACATACAGGGTACATAATAATATGCAAGTTTTTAAAAAGTAGCTATCTAGTAAATAGCTAATATCCATGCTGTATTTACACCTGTGGATCATGTCAGTGTTACAATAGTTAAATAAAAGTAAGAATAAACTCGTTTCTGTGTTTCTCTTACCAGTGGTGTTGCAGTGTGAAAAGTAGTACCAGTATTTATGAATTAAACTTTTTCTTCTTGCTATATTGAAATAATTCATATATACAAAGCTTGCCAACATATTGCACATTTTATATATCATTTTATTATAGAAAATGAGATAGCAACTCAAATCCCACATGACTTAACTTAACAAGGTTAAAATAATCTCAAAAGAAAAATAATACGAGATACCACATGAAGGTATGCACGAATGTAGTACATTGAAAATGTAGTGGAGGTTGATGCGATCCTGTACTGCCTAAATGCATGCTTTGCGGTATATTCATGTTAAACTTCTACATCTTTTCCCTGCTTTTAGAAATAATTTAATGAGATAACTGCCCAAAAATATCTTAAGTAAACAATGGAAAGTGTTTGAATTCCCAAAGAGGTAAGAGATTCAAGCGTGACAGTAAAACTTTCAAACATGATTGTATGTCATTTTATAGCATAAATTCTACTGTTTTCAGTGTCAAAAAAATGTTCAACTGCTTAAAAACTTGTTTTGCCAGTGTTGATCTGCATGATTCACAGAAAAGTTTCAATAGAGCTATAAATGATTTACAGAGGGCAGTATACATAATTGTGTTAATTTAATTTGCTGGTACACTAACCAGGGTCATTCCAACTCAGTTGCCTGTACAATCAGATGCAGATACAGACTTTGGATAAGTTTAATATATAAACTTTAGTACACATTACCTCCAACTACATTGGACCATGCAAGTTACATTATTAGAATACATGTTACAGGCTGCTTTCTGGCAAGGTGTACTCCAATTGGTTGACAAGTTCTATCAGAAAAAAGCTGCTTTGATGTGATTGGTGACTGGTACCTCCTATATATCAGATTAGTCTTTTCACCTTTGACCTATGCATATTTTATTGCATGTGATTTGATTTATCCTGCATGAACTTCTCACTTGATTACATATATATATATTACACATTTTGTTTAATAAAAATTTGGTTTTATAAAAATAATACTTGAAAATTATACATGTACCTATGTTAATTACAAAGTAATGTGAACCATTTTCTTCTCTACTTATCAGGTACAGAGGTTATAGCTCTTACACTACTTTGGTTTTAGATTTACATTGATAACACAGCTTGATTAAGGTTCTTCACGTGTATTTCAACCTACCATTAAAAACGGTGAAAATTTAATAACATTTTTTTTTTAAAAGTGCTACTTATTCATAAAAAGGCATTATTTTATTGAAAATAGTCATCATCCAGAATCTCCTAATAATCAGGCCAATCAGAATCACCCATCTTATAATAACATACATGTACATATGTCACCAAACGATATTTTCTAATATGACAAGATCTTTTCCCCATAGGAACCAACATTAAATGGTCAAACAGCAAAACAGCCATAATTCTTAGGCCATTTTTTTACATGAAAAATAATTTCGTGACCATAAAGTTTTAGCAAGTTTTGTGAAAAATGTAAAACTATAACTTTAATAAAAATCATGGAGATACCCATGAACAATATTAAAGTACATGAATAGTACGTTAGACTATGTGAAGATCAATTATGAGGCTAACCAAAGAATATTGCAATAGCATATTTGTTCTATTAGAAGTGCATCTCCAATAAAAGCACACATACAAAAAATGATGACTTATTTTTAACATAGTCAAAAGTGTATGCGATACTATAGAGAAAATACAGTATGTTTTTTTAAGGGGAAGGGAAATAGACGAGCTCTAGAAGTAAGAAATTTAAATCAGAAATACAAGACCAAGCATGAAACCAATAACTTTAGAAAGAGTTTAGAATTAAAAATGTTACTCTTTCTTCTTCTTTCGATCGGCAGTTTGTTTCTTGACACGAGTATCTTCCTCGCTCCCAAAGAAGATGAAACAAGAGAGACCTTCGAGCGGTACGAACGGATCTGGAACACTAACCAGCGTCATGGAAACCTTCCAAAATATTAGGAATAACGAGTAGAGTAACAACAGTAGTTCCTGTGACATCGATACTGTACCTTGCTTTTGTAGAACAAATAGAACACTACCAACTACGGAAACTTTTAAAACACTGCAAAGAAAAAAGATTAAAAGAATTTGATCAAAAGTCATGATATGATATGACTATGTTTTATGATTTTGTTTTGTCTGTATCATATGATTCAATCAGATGAAGAACAGCTTTCAGTACCTCAAAGAAAAATCAATTTATAATTAATAATGGTAGTGCACTGTCTGATTAAAACAAGATGCATTGTACAAGCTTTCTGTGTTATCTTACATCTAACTCCAATAGGAGATCTCATTCTCATAATTGCAAACAACAAGTCAATTTTTTTTTAATTTTTTTTTTAATAAAATTTTTTGTAAGTGTAAATTGCAAGTGCTGGTGCTGACACATAATGCATTTTGCCACTGAAGTCATATTCATGTTCGGGACTACATGACAGAGCTATGTGGCCATCTCTCTATCAAATAGCAATTTTAATGCGCTATTATGTCGTCAACCAGGCTCGGTCGAACACAAGCACCTGCGAACCTTAACCAAAAGTCGTATTCGTTAGTGAATGAATCTCGGCCAGTGGAATTGGCTTTCCCATTGAGTCTGTGGCACACTCACCCAGGGTAAGGGGTCAACCCTTTTGATGTTCAGCCTAAGGTAGGATTTGAACTTGGGTCTACCGATCATGAGTCTGATGCGACATCCACTATGCTACCAGCGACCGGTAGTAAGTCATTGTCAATGGCATAGTGTCCATTTGTATTATATGAGCGAGATATATGACCTGATGTGTGATGTATCAGTATGTATGAAGTTGAAACTTGATTGGTCCAGGTTCTTGTTGTTTGAAACGTACATTCAAGATTTGATAGAGACTCCTTATACATCTCATTCAGGTCTATGTGTGGCTTTTACATTAATTAAAACACAAAAAGTAGTAAAAGTACGATGAAAAAAAGTAGTAAATTAAAGTACATTACCAAATAAATAGCTCTTATTTCAGATTAACCTCAATGGATACAACTTTCAAGATTCTAGGACACTTTGTTTATTTAGTTCATATTTACCACAACTCCACATACCGACATGTATACATGTACAACTACTAAGTAAATAGCGTTTCTATTTATACTCACAATGAAGGTTTCATTAACTCATTACTGGTTGGTGTCCAAACGCCACGGGCTAATCTTTCAAAATTTTTCATCCAATTGCTACCAGATGCTGACAATAATAAATACATATTTCCTGTTAGAGATTGTTACGATACTTGGTACAGGATTGGTACAAATCTCATTTGTCACTCTACAGATATATACAGCAACAACAAATGTGTATCTGATATATTACAGGTGGTCAATGAGTAGGAAATATTACAATCAATGCGATATTTTGTGATACCCACATTGTTATACATCTTTTCCTATTTGTAATTATAATTCAATTAATTAGTGATCAGACAGATCTGACTGCCACACATTTTATGAGATTTGTGTCTATTTGATGTATTCTTTTTCTGCCATGCTAAATTGTTATTGCTGTCAGATGTATAAAACAGAGGTAATTATGAGTGATCTGGGTATAACATGTGATAAATCAAAATAACAATATCCTATGTAAAACAGTGTGATATCACACAATTTTCTAATCATGGCTTGAACGTAAATATTTTGAGAGCTACCAATTTCAAGACTAAAACTTCTAAAAATATCTAAGACTTATTACAATTGTGACAGAAATATCTGATATTTCAGGGTATCAAGGTATTCAGATAGGGCATCTATAATAATGATAATTTTATTTACCTAGAAAATATTTCATACAATACACAGAATTGTACATGCAGTCTAGGTAAAATGGAATCTGAAACAGCTTAAAAGCTAGTAGAGTCAGATCGAGACCCTTTATGGCCTTCATAAATGTTCTAATCCTATCTCTTGCTATAACCTCTTTATGCATGATCTCATCATCAGGCTAGTATGTTATAGGGTAAATATAGATGATTATCATAGCTCAGGTGATTGCAATGGAAATGTTCTGTAAAAATTGATCCTGGTATGAATTTTGGGGAACACTTTATACATGTAGGTGAAGCAGGAAACTTTTAGGTGGTTATCAGATACAAACAAAAACATGGTTGTGCAGAGATTTGGAGTATACAGACTCATATTTTTTATATTAATACATCATTTACATATAAGCATAAGTACTTATAACGGAGCAAATACAGTATACTCAACAAAGAATACAATTGTGTAGTTTATAATTATGACTGATTATATCAATAATATACATAATTGTACCAAATAAGAAAAATACCATTTGCAAATATACCACTGTTGCATTTTCACTTTCCTACCAAACTGGCAGAATTTTAAGGAATACACAAATTGAACAATATTTTACTTTGGCCTAATCCTCTATTCCAGATATAGGCATTGTTTTCATTTTGTAAAATGTGCAGGCTAAGCTTATCTCTGTAAATTCAGTCCATGTTTATTACTTCCATATCTAAGTATTTCTCAACGAAATAAATTCTTGTGGATATGTAATACTGTCTGGTGCAATATGTGACAGAGAAAGTTTAGGCCCCACAAAAAATTGGGGTGATGAGGCAATTTTTATTTCTTCTTTTTGCTTACATTTTTGACAGTTTTTGTAGGTTTAATCAATTGTCAACTGAGGGCGCTGTGCAATGGCAACAAAAATGGGGAGGGGTCAGCTCACACTTTTTTTTAATAGTGTGCAAGCTGACCAGAAACAATTTTTTTCTAGGCTTTAGAGCAAATTGTTATTTGAGAATTTATTAATATATAATTTAATATAATTTCATGAATATTAAAAAACAATAACAAGGCTCGCAAGCAGTAGCCAAATTCTTGTCCTTGAGCGACAATTTTTCAAATGCAATTGCCCAAATGTACTATCGGTACTACAAATTTACAAAAAAATTACACTTTGTTTTTTACGTTAACCAGTATATTTTCAAAGTTGTGGGTGTCCGACACAAATGAGTTATGCAACATTTATTTGTGCTCACACTTAAAAATATTACCAAAAATATTACCTTTGTACATGTATTCACGTATCTCACTCCTAGAATGCATTGTAAATATATCCAAGTGGAATAAATTATTCTTACTACTAAACAAGTTTTTCTTAGCCATTTCCAACTTATTTAGCCACATCACACAATTGAAGATTCAAGTACATAGCAAATTGAAATTTTATATTAAATGAAATGTTTTTTTGATGTTTTAGTTTACCTTTTATTTCATGCTCTCAAATCATTTTCAAACTCTTTCGTCTGAATGGTTTGAAAGGTTCATGGTTTGAAAGTTTAGCAAAAGCAGTATGATGTTTTGTACCAAATTTAAATGAAATTTGCCGTTGATAACGAGCGACTATCGAAGGGGTTAGTAAAAGCACCGTCTTGTCATATTTTAATTCACAAATCAAATACTATACACAGATTTGACTTTAATGTTTATGACATTTTGTTTACCTTTTACTACACCTATAAGAACCATAAGATGGTAGGCTTTAGGGAATACTTTCGCAGTTTGAGCGATTCCACCCAGTATTTTTCTTGGTCTTGTTACTTCTTTCAAAGCAAGCACAACAAGATAAACAGGTGACCACATTACAATTTTATGAAACAGATCATATGGACTATAGAACACCAAATACCTACAAAATATCAATAAATGATCAATATATTTAGGGTCAAAAACACATTTCAAGCAGCGAAGAGTGACTACTGCATTTAGCAATGGTATCAAACGTAACTGTGAAATTACATTTGTAAGGATAAAGCAAGTCTTATGACACTCATTTTCTCATTTACTGTAAAATGACTAATTTTCACTGGGTTTAAATTTCACTGATTTAGCATTTCAGGCACATTCAGTGGGTTTTAAAATCACAGTTTCATCATTTAGATAATGTGTTCTATGCTCAATTCTACATATTCACTGGGTTTTAATTTAGCACATTTTCCAGTCAGCGAAATAAGCAAAATTAAAACCCAGTGAATAATTAATCCTTTTATAGTAATTTTTAGCAGCTGTTTTTGTCTTGGGTCAATTCATGTACACTTTTTTTTCTAGTAAAATCACTACATTTGTAAGCACTGAATATTTCACTGGGTTTCATTAGGCACGTAGTAATGACTCATGACTGCCATCAAATATTCTGGACATACATTTGATAAAATACAATAAATTTAACAATATTTACTAATAGGGGCAGCCATCTAAATAAAAATAAAAAGTTTGAAGTGAAAATAAATCCTAGCTAGTATTATGTATAATAATGCTACTGGTATTAATGACACTACAAATTCCTGACATATTGTCTGTGGGAGCCCGAGAACAAGGATAACAAGGTCTGCTGCATGCTGTGCTACTCTTAGATTATAACTTCAGCCACTGTTCTTAAGGTACAATGTAGATACCTACTCATGAATTCAAACACACAGAATTTATTTATTTTCAAATAAATTGTACCCAGGCAATTGATTTTAATAGTGAATAGTTGCCATTTTAGCAGTATTATAGTGCTTTTACCATAGGTTTTGATGGAGATAATATGCCATTTCTCAAATAGAAAAATATTGAAAAAGTAAACTGAAAAACTTTTTAAAAAAAAAAACATCAAATTATATAATATACGTTGGTGACATAGGCTGAATTTTTGTTGTCCTCAATTATTTAAAAAATCTGGGTTTTAAAAAGTGTTAAGAAATGTAATTCTTTATTGTATGGAATTGTTCTAAAAATAACATTTATTTAAAAAATATTAGGATATAAGTTTTTGAACTTGTTATGTCACTGTAACACACAAAAGAATGCTAATTCATGGTGCCATGGGAAAATAGCTTCACGTTTTTATATAATAAACCAATGAACTTTGTAATTAGATTTATGAGCAACTTCTACCCTAACCAGAAAAATACTGTTCATGTAATCAAATTGAAGCAAGAAGTTATAAGAAACGGATATGCCATCTGGTATGCCATGAAGATTCCATTTTGAAGTCGCATGAATTGTGAGATAACAATATCACAAGACAAATATACATTTCAGGGAATACAGTGTACTAACATAAATGGTCAAGTCTGGGAAAGAACAGTTAGTTGCCATCTCGGGCTGTTATGTTTTTGCTAGTGTCCTTGCTTATTCATGTATTTTTTCCTTTTTAAGTTGGCCAATAATTTCAGTCATTTCTGACAATATGAAATCAAACCCTTCCAAATGTCCACTGTAGTCTATGATATCTAATGGTTAGAGAAAGTTTTGACTTGAACATCACTCTTGCAGAATTAGATTTTCATCGCATATCAAAGTAGTAAATAGATATTTAAGTTACATATCATTATCTTATAGTACCACATATTATCCTAAACCTTAGAAATATACCAATGAAGGCAACAGAAAATATATTGAATCTAAATTAATGTAAGTGACACATTTTCATTTTCAATTAATCTAATACTGCATTAGAGCAAGATTTGAAATCAAAACAAGTTCTCAATCTCAGAATTTGAAGTCAGTAGAAAAGTGGTGTTCAATTCTTTTGAATTCAGATTTGATTCACATTTGAATTTGCATTTTGATTAAATTCAAGGGAATTAAAACTGGTTCACAAAATCACCATTGAAGCTAGATGACATAAACCAATTGCAGCAAATTTAATCCCATGGAAGCAGGAACATGTACATGTTGTACAGCTACAGATTTTATCGAATTCTAATCACCACAAATTTGAAGTACCGGTACACCAAATAATTCCTTATTGAATATGAACTCACCAAACAATGGTAGCTGTTGCAATATTTACGGGACTCTCGAAGGCTCCTAAAATTGGTTGTGCTAGAAGAAAATTTGCTATTACACCACCAGCAAAAGATGATAACAGACTGCACAGCCAACATGCCAATGGATTCTTACGTGAAAATTCTACAAAAAAGAAAAAGTATTGTTGAAGAATGAAATGAGTAAGGTTAAATTGATTTGGGGGTCAAAATAAAATTAAAAAAAAATTAAATGCCAATTTGTTGTGAAATTTATAATTACCTCCTACTTTTTTTCTGGCTAAACCTTAATAATGAATGTAGGTAATAAATATACTATCATGACCATAATCCCATTCTCTGAAATTCATATATTTATTTATAATTCCAATGGAAGTTTAAGCAGCCAATCAATGAGCACAGTGCACAATGACACCATTTGAAAATACATTTTGTAGTTCAATGTTATTTTATTGACCATTAGAAATTTCTTGTTTCAGCCCAAATTGTGAAATTTATAATTATTTACATATAAAATCAAGGGAATGAGTTTGTTGTTGTGATAGTTATAGTAATAGCATTTTATTAAAGCATGACAAAACATGTTCATGTAAGTTTTCATGTCATTCCTGTATGTGCGTCGTGTTATATTGATTACATGTGATGAAGGCAATCAAGGCAGGATAAAGCTCTGGCATATTTTCTGAGTATGTACTAAATATGACAGAAAGCCATCCACATATTTGTACCTCTGAAATACTGAAATGCATTTTGGAGCATTCTTACATGTACAACTAAAATGGCCTCCCACAGGCCACCTTGAATTAAATCTTAACAACCTGCAAATGTGTAATAAAAATGTGGTGTCATTGAACAACTACATTGATACATTCAAATAAAAAAAGATTCCATTGGTTATAGAAGCCATTTGACATTGCTCTTTACTCATAAGTTTCTGTTTTTTTTTAAATTTATGGCCGGTTTAGACAGAACAAATAGTATAAAACTTATTTTCAGGTGACATAGACAATAATAATGATTGGTCATCTACTATTCTGCAATATACTGACAAATGTTGATTCACTAATTAATGTGTTTAGTCACAACAGATTTTAACAATCAATTCACATTTATTAAATTTAATATATTTATTTTGGATCAGAAATGTTCATGCCATTTTAAAAACAGTATACTGTAAAATGACTAATTTTCACTGGGTTTAAATTTCACTGATTTACCATTTCAGGCATATTCAGTGGGTTTTATCATTTAGATAATGTGTTCTATGCTAAATTTTACATATTCACTGGGTGTTAATTTAGCGCATTTTCCAGTCAGCGAAATAAGCTAAATTAAAAGCCAGTGTATAATTAACCCTTTTACAGTATACAATATGGTTTAAAAATTATAGTACGCTGCACAGAACAGATTTAAATATAAAAAAGCTCATGGTTCAGTGTTGTATCTTAGTATATGTAGAAATTTTGTATATTTGAAATATTAGTATTTGAAATATGACTAATATGAAGATATTTAACAACAAGTTATAGATAATTATAAATTGATATTACATTGCCATGGATATACAATATTCATATATTTCACAAAGGTCAAACACATATTTTTTTTTAAATTAAAACTGAAATTTACGTATAATAATCGGTTTCAAATTATTTATGTTCAATCACAGGTCACTACGTGGACATGACATAGTGATTAACGGTATGGCGAGGTATCTAATGACAATCTTCAGCGTCCATCTGAGTGTGTACCATAGTGCATTGAACTTCAACTCACCAATGCCGGCATCTTTTCGTACAGCCGCTATCATCAAAATATAATGTGCAATGTCAAATAAGGGAAACATCGACAACTCAGAAAACCATTCCGCAGTTATGTGTAACATTTCCAAAAAATCACCCATCTTGGCTTTTGGCACAAAAACAGTAAAATACGTGTTAATTAATATGCTGGGATATGGCAGTAATTCCAATAATCCCAGTTGTAACCAGAACGAGGCCCGTTATCGTCTGCCGATACATTCCCTAGACTTCCAAACTTAAATAATATGGCCTCCTTTAGCGTTACAGTCTTAATTTCATCACATTTCTGGATTTTATATGGCGCTAACTCAAATATTAAACCTATATAAACATTCTCATTTCGATAAGGTCTGTTTATGCGACAGAAAGTAGCAGATGTTTAGTTTTGAAGTGCGTGTCTATTTTATACAAAGTTAAGGGCTCTTGGGCGTTCAAAATGGCGGATTACATAAACAGAAATTCGATATGTAAACTCCTAATTATCGAGTTGGAAAGATCATTTTTTGGATGATACGTGTTGGAATTTTACGATTGTTATCGATTGCATGAACTAAACATTTTATACTGTCTTGATTAATTTCATGTAAGGTATGTCTTTCTACTTTGTTTCTGGAAGTTTGTCACGAGAAGTTGAACTTTGACTCTCCAGACGCTGTATACTTGTCAGGTCAACGTAGAGTTGAGTCACCAGATTCCCCGCTACGTTCTCGCTGCTGTAGCATATTGTTCATATTTACGAGATGATATGAGCGTGTAATTCCAGTTTTAGCTGATAAGTCCTTGAAATACAGTCGAAATGGCGGTGAAATATTATGGTTGACAGTAAATACACTGGGCGCCTTGTTTCAGTACGTGTGATAACTTGCTCTTCGATGTAAATAGTAGAGTTATGGCTACTTTGCGTACAGATATATAAACACGTATTGTGATGCTGTAATCACGGAATTTACGTTTGTATCAACAGTGTACAGATTGACAATATGCATATCAAACTCGACGTTCTCGCTTCGTGCAATATCAAGAGGAAAAAGCCATGGCCCAGACTAGTATGGTTGGGAAAGGTGAGTATACATTTGTATATCATTATATGGAATGTTTAAATATTGTTTTGTTAACACTTTTTGTTGACCGAATATCTTCAATTATTTGAAGGATCGATGTCCAAGATCATTTGCAATGGAGATCCTTCCCTACATGTACATTGTATTTAGCATGGAAACAAAATCACCATGTTGTAATATAAATAATAATCAACAACGTTGAAAATGACAGATTATTCATCAGTGCAGAGACAGTAGAAGTTTGCAGGCAAAATATGTGTTTTAGAGTTCATGTCAATATTTGCTGAATGTACTGGTAGATTATGAATCTATATCCAGTAGATGTACTTTGTGATAACAACACAGAAGTTTATAGGATTTGGCAAAACCTTAGTTTAGCGAAGTTCCAACAATCTCATTATGGGATTATATTTTAGCTAAATAAGCTCCAACTTGAATTAGCAAAAATGGAGTTAGTGTAAAATACACATCTGACAGTAGTCTGTCAAAATATATTTAGTACTGTAAAATGACTAATTTTCACTGGGTTTAAATTTCGCTTATTTACTCTTTTCAGGCATATTCAGTGGGTTTTAAATACACGGTTCTATGCTAAATTTCACATATTCACTGGGTATTAATTTAGCGCGTTTTCCAGTAAGCGAAAGAAGTAAAATTAAAACCCAGTGAATAATTAACCCTTTTACAGTATGTGACATTTGTCTAATGTGGGTCATCCACATATGAGATACCTATGGTATTTTACAAATATAAATCATTTCTGAGCTAGATTGTTATTAAATAGCTACTAGTTACCCTACTTTTTTTGCTTCTAGATGTAGCTAGTTCAACAAAAAGTGTATTCTTTTAATGATTGTTGTCACTGTAGTTAATACTTGGATTCATGCATTGAGCCAAATTTGTTAAAATTCTGTATATTATTCCATGTTTTTCAGTACAGACAGACCATGCTGTCTTATGTCATTCCAAAAAAAACGATCAAATTTTTTTCCCCCATATACACTGTATATTGTAAAATCATTAATAAAGTATTTTATTTCTTGATTTTAAATGCTGTGTTATTTTGCAGACATTATTTTTCACACATTCAAGAATGAATCTCATTTCTATCAATAACAACTTCCCATCTTTAGCTTCTTAAGTACAGCAATTAACATGGAACCAATCATCAAACTATATAATTAACAGAGCTCAAACCAGGCTCACACATTGCACTGTGACCAAAACAACCACCATTTAATTTTTACTTCAATTACAAATTGCTTGCAATTACATCCTTTTCCCTTTTCCCAATATGCTTGGATTGAGAAACACAAAATGTTCATTTTTTTGTCTCGAGATGAAGATATTTAGTGGTTCCACAGTAATCATATTATCTAAATTCTACTGTGAACCATTTAATTTTACTGCTAAAAAATGTTCATGAATTTGCAAAAATTTATCCTTCACAAAATTAAAGCCATTTACAGTATTTTGTAGTGTTCTTGTTTATGGTAGCACACATATACAATTGTATGTTATTAATAGAATTGTTTCTCCATTTCAGGAAAAAGAAAGTTTGTTTTTAATGGACAACCATCGTCTCAGTGTGCTATATGTGCCGAGTGGAAAAACCAAAAGAAAAGTTCCCAAAGTTCACCCTCATTTGGAAAATGTTGTTGTGATGAGTTCATCTCCAAATGGTCTGTACTATTTTAATGTCTAGACACATACTATATTTGAATGAATATTTGACAGTTAATTTACTGTAAAACCATTTTTTTTCACTGGAATTAAATTGAGTTTAAAGCGCGGCAGTCGTCGCGCAGTGCGTGTTCGAATTTCATGTAAATAAACAAAGTATTTTACACACGTTGTATACGTCGCTATGAGTCCCATATCAAACATGAACGCGGCACGACGACTACCGCCCTTTAAGCAATTTCACCGGGTTTCTCGAACTTGGCAGAAATTAGTCGTGAGTGAGTATTGTTATTGGTGAAAATCACAAATTAAAAACCAGTGAATAATTATTGTGTTCACAGTATGACTGATATTAACAATTCTGTACCCTATACAAAATATTATTCAAGTCTAAAAGACATATTTGATTTTGTTTTTTTCATAAATATCATTATCAATGCATGTGTAAAGATCTCTATTTTGTTAAATCCTGAATATTGAACAGATAAAGATATATTTTTAGTATTAGCAGATGCTGTAACTCGTAAATAGTAACATTCTCCTTTATTTAACCGTTTGTCCCACTCAGCAGATTGTCACATGGTGTGACCAGTTGTGCGATTTACAGTTTTGCAATGGTTTAGATTTTGGTAAACATTTATTGTGTTCACTAATCGAATGGTTTCACTAGGTTTTTGCTGACTTAATATGACTATTATTTCACTCCTGAATATAACTGATTGTGAGCTTTAAAAATCAGACTACAGATATTAAATCCATTGAAAAAATGCAACGTAACGGTAACTAGGGGATAATTTCTGTTAGATACTGATTCATTGGAAACAATAAGATGGCCTTCCATCAGAAATAGATTTTAATACCAACAACTGCAATTTGTAGAAGTGGTTCAGCGCCAGTAAAGTTAATAGTCTTATTACAATAGTTGTCAAATAAACTATTCCCTGGGTGTGACCCTCATTGTATACTGAGTGGCCATCATATAGGGCTACTGTTGCTATCTATATAGGCCACCCGAGGTCATACTATTGACTACTGTGCTCTGTTTATTCAGGTCCCTGTGCATGTTCTATCTTGTATATAAACAAGTTTACATTAAACAAGTTTATTATTCTTTAGATTTTAATTTCACTATTAAGTGAAATCTTGAAATTAAATTCATTTGAACAAAAGTTTAAAATCCAGTGAATATGCTTAAAATATCGAAATAGGGAATTAAATAAATACCAATAAATACCATTATTATACATCTGTCACCGTAACGCCGTAAATTACCGCTTTCCATAATTTTGCGGTATTTTACGGGGTATTTTCATTCTACCATATTAGGAAATGCAAATTCCAAAAATAAAAACAAAGATGACTGCCACCAGGGTTTGACCAGACTCCACACAAAAAAGTTT